GTTGAATACGATGACTAGTGCGAGCAAGATCGAGCGAGCCTGCGAAAATCAAAGACGATTAGAAGTTAGTTATATGAAGTGATTTCATTGCGAGCCTCTCTTCACCCTTCCTGCTGTCGCAAGATTCAAGCACGGCAAATGTCTCAGACAGCCAAGGACCGAAGCTATCGATTTATTTCATTAGGCAGCTTTGACAAGCCGTCCATGCGGTACGTGATGACTAGCAACGACGACAAGGACTTGGGCTCATGGCCTCATATGGCCTCTGGAAGTCCTGTGGACAGCAGAACTCGAACTCGGATGTGAAGGCATTTGGCGTATGGCGCATTTGCCATCTCAGGAGACTCCTTCCGATGTGGCCATGTGGAGGCTGAACGTGCGAATGCCGGCTTCTTCCACCCAATATTTCTGCAATGAAGAAAGCCAAGCTGCTACATTCGAAGTTGTTCCGCCCGAGGTTATGGTATACCTGAACTTCCGCAGCGAAATGCATGCGAGGTGTGCTCGCAAGTGGCTGCTGAAGGGTATGCGCCCAAGTTAGGCAACAGTGGAAAGCATGCCGCACTTCTCGTTCCACCTGACGAGGTGATTGGGTTCGGTCAACGCAGATGGAGAGCACAGTGACATCGGGGATACCCAACGGACCCTATTCCGGACCTGTGTTCTTCAAGGCCGCTGCCAATCCGGATTGGCGGATGGACACTGTAGTCAGTGATTGCTGATATGCATGAACAATGCTCATGCTTTGGTTGTGCTCTCAGACCACTTAATTTGAGGCTTCTTCACAGCTGTGCACCATTTTGTTCCATGTTGCACGCAGAGCGAGGCAGCTAGCAGTGGAACGTTGGATTTGCATGGAAGCGAGTGCGGAGAAGGAACTTACTTTGTGTTTGTGGTGCTGAGCTCAGCAGAGCTCAGCTTGGCAACGTTGAGTTGAAAAGCGGTGGTCGCCCTTACAAGATGCATATGCACGTGCGCCAAGGACATCGAACCAGATCTCCACGTGGAGGTGCGTGAAGGGTTGCCATACTTTGTTTCAAAGCACAAGGCTTCCTCGTGAGAATCCCGTGTTCAAGTTGCATACGTGAGCTTGAAACTCCTCGAGTCGAGCTGAGGATGCCATCACGGGCAGCTAGGATCGGCCAGAAAGATGCGGATTCTTAGAAATTATTTTATCATCCCCTTGTGGGAAACTGCATGATGGTTGTGATCTGTAGCTGCAGCTGCTTTGTACATAGCTGGTATGACTCCTATCTTCCGAACGGTCTAGGTTGCTCAGGGCAGACAAGCCGTGAAAGGACACTAGAGCAAGATAGTCTAGGAGGAAGATTCTAGAAGCAGAAGCGTTTTGGATCCTTGCTGTGATTCACCTGGAGCTGCAAGAGCCGTTCTGACCGCGCTGCATTTGTCCATACACCTGCGTGCGACGGCCCCAACAAGAACTGACAGGCCTCGAGCTGACCCGTCCAGAGTGAATTTGGCATTTTCGGCACACCTTGAGCAGATCTGTTGGCATTGGCAACTTTTGTCAACGTGAAGCTTCTCCCACATGCAGATATATGCAGATCACACGGCAACAAAACATTCTTTGAAGCGATTTGTAGTGCACTACTTCGCTTAACAAGTTTCATGACCACTGCAAGTGAAAGATGAAACAGCCCCATAGCCCATAGCTTATTAGGATGTCTTTCGCGGCGTGCGATGGCTGACGACTTTTGGCATCTTGAGAAGGCTTAGCGGCATAGCAGCCTGCGCCTCGAGGCAAACGTTCTTGATTCCATTTTAAATTCTGTTTTCCTCTCTCGTGAGAAGTGCCTCTGCGTGTGGATTCTTTGCGATGTGGGGGGCTTGCAGATTGCTGAAAGACCATGGCCACCCCAAGCGATGGCACGGGGCACAGATTCATTGCAGATTGCAGTGAGACTGATTGAATAGGTCGCTGGTGTACTTCGTAATGTTGATACTGATACTCTACTTTTTGTCTAACTTACTAAAAAAGCTTCCAAACTGTTTTCAGCCATTTCCAGCTACAGAAGTTCCCTGGCACCGAGATCAGGTGGGCTGAAGGCTTGCAGGGAGGTCCCGGAAAAAGGTCGCGCATCTACCACCGAGCATACTTAGATAGTGCAAACATCAGGCGCTGCAACAATATTTTAGGAAAAATGCTGAAAAATGCCAGGCGCTCTGAGCGTGCTCCTGAAGGCTTTTCGGAGGGCCCCTGAAAAACGTCGCACATCCACCAGTGACCAGACTGAGATGGTCGCTGCAATGATGCCAGGCCAGGCAGAAGGCAGTGATAGTGCTGCAGGAACCACGATGATTTAGCTCAACTTTGAAATCGGCATGGGCAAGGCGCTCAACACCCTACGACACACACGAATGTCTACCTGCATATTAAAACATACAATATATATGTATATATATATACATACATACATATATATATATACATATGTATAAACATAAGCAAATAATTACATACATATATGTTATAGAGAAATCTATTGCGAGAGATTCCAAGAGGCGTTTGGTGGCTCCGCAAGAAAACTGGCTTTCAACTTAACATCTATTCCTTGCGGAGACTCTCAAGGAACGGTGGTTGGTGGCGAAACCGTCTTTCTGTGGAACGGGTTTTTGGTGGCCTTCAGTTTGTTGTATTTACTCTTTGTTGTTCAAACAGTTTTCAAAACCTTTATTGCATTCTCGACACGACTTTTCAACACACGGGCATACAAAATAGAAGAGAGGGCTCATGAATACCATAAATGCGTGAACGAAACGAAGGAACCCAGTAAAACTTTATAACCGAAATTCAAATGGAAATGAAAACAATGAGTTCGCATTTAATGTGTTAGCGCGATTCCATTAGCATCACTAAACATCCCGCAAACGAGCTACATTCGAGAAGAGCATTTTCCTGCTCCAAGAAATGGAAAGCGCACTTTTTATATCATGGCACGGGCCGGCCTGGCCGTCTGAAAGCTGAAACTCGGGTGTGGGTTTAGGGGTTGGAAAAAATAAGAAGAAGAGAAAGAAGAAGAAGAAAAAGAAGAAGAAAAGAAAGAAGAAGAAAAGAAAGAAGAAGAAAAGGAAGAAGAAGAGAAAGAAGAATAAACAGAAGTAGAAGAAAAGAAAGAATAATAAATAGAAGAAGAAGAAAATCAGAGAAAAAACAATAACAAGAAGAAAGGGTAAAGGAAGAAAAAGAAGACATACAGAAGAAGAAGAAGAAGAAAATAAAGAAGAATAAGCAGAATAATAATAAAAGAAAGAAGAAGAAAAAAAATAATAATGACATAAAAGAAAGAAGAATAACAAGAGTAATAAGAAGAATATAAAGAAGAGGAGTAAAAACAAGAAAAACAAAGAAGAAGGCAAGTAAGGAAAAAAAAACAAGAAAACAAATGAACAGGAAGCCGAAGAGAAGAAAGAACAGGAAGCGACAGCCGAAACCCTAGATATAATCCTCTGCGTGCGCGTGCGCGTGTGTGCGTGCGTGCGCGCGTGCGCGCGTGCATGGCGCGGGGGGGATGGGGGGCTGTGGGTGCGGGGGTTGGGCATTGCACTGGGACGCTGTAGATGAAGCAGTAAAGGCATGCTGAGAGCGGGCGGGTGCGCGGGATGAATATAATAAATGCGTAAACGAAGCGAAGGATTCTTTAGTTTATTGGTTTCACGTGCAAACATAATTAGTATAAGCGCGCGAGGATACGGTATTTATATCAAGACATGTTACCAACAATACATTTCTAAAACATTGGGTTTTTCCAGGAATTACTAGTTTATTGCAAACATTTCTCCCGGAATCTTCTTAGGTTTACATGATAAATCAGATATTAATACAGCATATGTTCCCTTTTCTTTTTAATCAGACAAATATTTTATGAATGGTGGTAACGTTGTCGTCATTCTGATGGTGTACTTTTTGTCTTTCTGTTTATAGTTCTTCATCTTGGAAGAGTTATTTGTTATGCTTCATATTACTAGAATTCAAACTCGGTTTTCTGCGTAAAAATAATGCTTCTTCTTAATGGGAACAGCATTTACGGGTTATGTTTTCGGAGATTACGGTAATTACAAATGTATTATCCCCATTTCCATCTTTACTAGAATGGTTAGAGGTTCGTTGTCTTTACATTTTCTATTTCCATTTCTTCTCTTCTTTTTCAGATTGTTCATTACACGTGCCGTACTCACAGTTTAGGGCATTTAGGTTTTCAGGGCATTGATAGTCCGGGCTCTCGCGGGAAAGGACGGTTTAGGGCATGGGCAGTGAGAGTTTTAGATGTTTTAGGGCATCGAGGGTTGCAGGGTATTGTGGGGTTAGGGTATTCACGGATTAGGGCTATGTAACGTCTAGGCCAGAAGAATCTCAACAAACAGAGCCGTTCCCTGAACAAACAGAGCCTTGAAATGTGCTGACTGGACACTGCATGTCAGCAAAGCTTCTTCTGCACCACAGTCAGCACGTAGCAAATGGGAGGATATTGATAAGTCACCCTTGCCGCATCAAGGCGACAGCGCCGGGGATGCGTGCCCCTTTCGTTCCAGCTCTTGCGATGTTGCGGTTGTGCTACTTCTCAGGACATGGCAACGTTGTCAGTCCACACTGTCGCAAGTGATGGAGGGCTGTTTGGGTATGGCCAAGTTCCAGCAGAAAGTGCGAATTCGCGACGTTTAACAAGTTTCTAATTCCTTGTGCCGTTCCATACTGGTTTTCACACTGTTTCAAATTAGTTTCAAACTCCGGTTTCAGATTCGCTGATATGAGACAGCCTTTTCCTGGGCGGGTACTGAGGTTTGCCCAGGAAAATGCAGTTCCCTGTGGCTGTTGCCAGGATGACGTTGGTTGTTGTGGCTGTGGCTGTGGCTGTGGCTGTGGCTGTGGTCGAGATCGTGGTCGTTGAGTTGGTGCTGTTGTCATGTTGTCTCGGTTTTAGGGTTTAGGGTCTGGCGCTAGCCATCTTTGCTTGGACAGGTACTACAATGGGGCGCAAGACATGGGTTCCGCCATAAGATCAGATCGTCAGCTTCAAACTCGATTGCTCGTGAGTATTCATAAAGTCAGCAATGCCACTGTGGCTGCTAGATTCCATTAGATAGTCGGCGACCATTGTCTGAGGCTTCTGCGTGAGCAGCTCACACCCGATGCGCGCGGGCTGGCTGCACCCCCAGAGAAGCCGCGCAATACAACTTCTATGGAAAGGCGTCATGCTGCGGTGGGGCTGATGGCTACGGGCCACGGCACGCCCACCTGGCCTGATGCTCTCGAAAGACGGGTTATCACGGCAATTTCCTCGGGTCGAGAGCTTGGGCAGTCTTGGCATCTCCAAGTGGCCTCGAAGAACTCTACAGCATTGCAGCCCCATAGTTGTATTGCAGCCTCGACTTGGAAGAATCAGATATTTTGTAGAAGGACGTCGGGAAGCTATTCTCAATTGGCATACTCTCTGACAACGCTTTAAATAAAGCTGCTTGAAAAAAGCCCCCAGTCCTTCCATGTACTCGCGGACTTCAAGGGTTTGCCGGGGTTAAAGATGCCCTTGCTGTCCTGCTCAGATAGTGGCGATGGTGGGGCTGCCAGCCAGAGGAAAGTCCTTCATCTCGCGCAAGGTTTGGACTGCTCTGGTTCATGTGATTCACGCGTCCGACATTCCTAGGTTTCCGTAGAAGTGTCACTCGTCTCGTCAAACCATGCTTCAGAAAATGACTGCCTGCAGTTGGAGCGCTTCCTGAGATGGAGTGGCAGCACGACCAAAACTTTTAATGTGGGAATCTGGGCTGCAGCTGACTTGCAATGGTGGGTTCTGCACTTGTCACCATCGCAAGCGGCAACAATTACGATATCCAAACTGGTACGTAGTGCACAAGGATGCAAGCTTGACATCAAGTATTGTGTGTCGACCGCCCCGTAAGGTCCCGCGTAGGGGCGTCAACACGATGGCATCTTGTGAGGCGAAACCCCAATAACCCGCATACATGGAGCCCCTTTGCTCGAGGAAAAATCTTGCTTGCATGAGAACACTGCGGCGGTTAGCACCAAACAAACGACGATTAGATTCAGATCTGGCAGCAAAATCATGTGTCTGAAGCTGCAGAGACATCCGGGTCTGTTGCTGGAAATATGCGAGGGTTGCTGTTTGTGGTGTGAATGCGAACTCTTGTGATTGGTCGGCACTGTACTCCTGCATGTTTTGGAGCTGCGAAGGAAAGTCTGGAAGCACGCGCACTGGCTTTGCTTTTGCCGCTCAGGAAAGTACCGACGAGATGCAGTGGTGCCTGAGAGGCCTCTGCATACTGCATCCGCGAGCGTGTAATTTCGTGTGTTAAATCGGCATGAAGGCTCGTGTCCGCGCGCGCCCGCGCGCCCGCGCGCGCACACAGGATTTCCGGGACGACTGTCATTTTGTTTTCCGATATCACAACGAGCTAGGGCTCCAATAGCGACGTGTTTAAATACATGTGAATTGAATTGAGATATGTTGAAATGTTTACGAGCAGACCGAGGGCCGCCATATTCCGTACTAGGTCTGATGGACCCCCCCCTTTTCAGCAGGCCTACGCCTTGGCCGCCTTGGCCCAAGGCTTCAAAAGAGCCCTGTGTCCTAGTCCGTGTGGCCTCGGTGACTCGATGTAGGACGTGCGGCTTTGCGCGGCCGGCAAGAGACTCTGGAGCAGTTCGGGAACCCTTGCCGACTCTAAAAGTGTGTGCAAAAGCACGCGCGCGCTCGTGTCTAGCAAGTAAAATTACAGAAATACACGCATGTATGTATATCTACATTTTAAGTGGCTGCGCCCATGGGCGGACAGCAGAAGCTCGAGGACAGTTGATTTTTTAATGCTTTTAAAGGCTGCCGCCAATGCCGCTGCAAACAGGGGGGGCGCACCCCCCGGCGCGCGACTTTGCACGAACGGGTCAGCCCTCCCCCCATCGGGGGGCGTCGTCGATAATATATGATAATATTTATATTTATACAAGTATACAATGTATACATAATAAGTATACAGAATAAGTATACATAACAAGTGTACATAATAAGTATACATAATTAGTATACACAATAAAGAAGTGTATCTATCATACTATCTGTCGATCTATCTATCTATCTACCTAACTATGCTTGTGTATATATGTATATATGTATATGCACAGACATATATACATACATATATGTGTGTATGAAGGAACATAGATTTCTGCCCATGTGAGTTTGTATTGTATCTTTTTTACATACGCGATCACATATATGATTATATGTACGTGTATATACACATATGTATATATGTACACATATGAATATATATATATATATATACATATGTATGTATATACATGTATATCAATGTATATATATATATAGAAGGACAAATGAAAAGCATAGTGCCCCCCCAAAGCCCCTTTCTTTTTGGCCCTCAGCCCTCACTGCAACAACTTAGAGTTTGCAAGTTTTGTGATCTAGATTTGCGGTTACAGAGTCAGTTGGGAGAATATACCTGCCTTTTATACTGCAAACTATTTAGGTACCGAACCTGATTAGTTGGTTACACACGCACCAGGCGCCATCGTGCGATTTTTATTTTCTGGATGGAGGGTGGGGGCTTGGGGGTGGGGGACGGGGGACCTGGTTACGACCATGTTTGCTCCAACAATGCCGAAAGCACTGAGAATTGCAGCCTTTTTTGGTAGCCTGGGTCGTTACCTCTTTGTGCAACGTAGATGTTTTGACGTTTCTGGAACAAGACATGCCACAGCCCCCCAACAACCATAGCACCTAACCCAGACGCCGGCAAGTATGTAAATAAAGGTGAATAGGGTAACTAAGCTCATTAAGCCTTTTTCGTAGACGTCGTGCCAAAACCCGAGAGTAAGCTCATTCCTACCCTTCTAAACGGCGCCTCGTGTTTAGTTGAATCTGAAGTGGAGTATTGTAACATTGTGCGTAAGGAATGTGGAGAATTACATGAACCTCAAATATGTAGAGGCTCCAGACTGTCTACGAACATGTGCTTGGACGCGAATGAAATCCGGTGAAACAAGCACAAACACCAATGAACTAAGTAGAATATAGAATTGTATTCCCTGATTTCTCGATAATTCACACAGGTTGTGCGTGTGTGCGCTGCAGGCTTTAGTCGTTAGCGCAAACTACCAGGCATTTCTTATCCACATCGCAAACTACAGCATAAGTTTAAAGCTCTATCACACCTTTTTCATCTGTCACTCCAGAATGTTTTTGAGCAGAGATGCTTGTATCAAGCGAAAAGAGCTCGCACTTGGTACTGTTGAACAAAAACATGGTTACGTGCTTACGTAGCTTTTACTGCCGAAGATGTTTCTGTGGTGACGGCAACATCCCGATGAGCACCTAGTGAAGCTTGATTAGTTGCGAAAGGGTTTCCCATGGAAGTGTTGCCCGAATTCATTTTTAGTAGAGCTCAGCATGTTCTAGCGAAGGCGAAGCCGACACAAGAGGCCTCGTGTAGTCGGCGGGTTTTTGCGCCAACATGCTTTCCTGAATATGAACCGGGTGCCAATGAAGCAGCCCTCTCGGTGTGCCCGTCGTCGTCGTAGTCGTCGCAAGTCGTCGACCTCCTCGAGACAATGCTCAATGCCACGCACGATGAACTTTCCATGCCCGCATTTCTTTTACGGATGGGGAGAGACGGAGCTCGTGATGCCTCCTAAGTACTTACTACATTTGTACGGCAATTGTTCGGGGCAGGGCAGCTGCAGACATCCTCCGAGAAATACATTCGTGCGAAAGCCGTGGGCATCCTCTACTTACAATACTGGGCAAACTGAGAACGAAACGAAGCTGCACAGGCAGGTTGTCCGTGCCGATGCCCTTGCACGCAATCGGAACGAGGGAGACCATTCATGTTACTCTTCGTGGCACGCACGCCAGAAAGGATCGACGACCGTGCCCAGCGCAAAGAGGACCCGACGATCTGCCTTAGATGAGCCCGAGGGCCATCCGAAACGAGCCTGCCAGGGATTAGCAGGAAGTTGCGCAAGTCTGTGTTGTTGTGCAATGTTGTGCACATGTAAACACCGTGGTCCCAAGAAACGAAGCTGCAAAACCCACAGCAGCTGCGAAGATTGGAGCCCCGACCCCCTGCGAGCCTTGGAGGGGCACGTAAACCTTATAAAGCCTGCACGGTGCACCTTAGCATCATCTTTGCCACCATCCGCATATCTGACACACTTGTTCCTCTGGATGGCACCACTCTCTCACCACATTCGCTCCATCTCTCCTCTGTGGCGCACTCAAGCTGACATCATTCACTCACAACATTCATTCTCACTGACATCAGTCATCAAGCACGCGCCGACTCACCTACGGACAACCAGGGCTTGCAAACAGAAATCCGCATAAACTCTACAAGATGAAGGGGAAAGGGCACTGGACAGCACCATGGCATGTTTGCGCAGGTCAGGTAGAAGCGAATTCTTTGACAACCAGAACCCAGATTCCGTGGCCATGGTCTTATTTTGAGGGCGCGAGATTTGCTGTGCGCTAAGCCCCATGTATCTGCAGGAAAACTCAAGACTCTCAAGACTCTCAAGATTCAGAGTTGTGAGTTATGAGGCCGCAAGGGAAAAATTGGCAATGCTGGCTTTGGTGGGATTCTTGGAGCAAACTGCGCAGCTTCAGCTCATGCATAGCTCTTGCGAACAGTCTTCGAAAAGACCGAAGCCAGGATCGCAAAGGCGAACTGGCAAAGCATGAGCACAGGCCGATGCCATCAAGTTCTTGGATGATGGTGGGAAATTCGCGATCTTCGATGCAACTAACAGCACCTCGACTAGCAGACATGGCCGCAACATGCAGGACGATAGGTCGTGAGCCTCGACTGTACTTCTTTGTGTTGAGAGTGCCATTCCAAACAACGTTAAACTGAGGCACTGTTGCAAGGCGACGATCTATCGCTGACCAAGTGCTCCTGGCTGCAGACAGATCAGTCCAGAAATGTCGAGAACGCAAACAACGTGATGCGTGCTGCATGCAGATACTTTTTGAAATAGGTTCGCAAGCCACAATATACTTCACAGCCTGCGCTGTCGCATGCATTTCAATACAATAGTTCGATTTTAACGACCTGCCTCGCCCGGGACCGTGTGGACCAATCATAAGAAGTGGCCTTCGTCAGAGAGGCGCAGCGCGATCTTCGCCCAAAGGGCCAAACAGAACACATCAGAACACCATCTCCAATCAGTCTCGGGCTTGCTCCACTTGAGGGTGCTCTCTTGAAGCTGTCCAAGGCTTCCTTCTTAGTACAGCGACTGAGCAGCTTGCACTCACATTGAGGCGGAAAGACGGTTGAACACAACTTTTCTGCCTGAGGGCGTGCGTACTGACGGAACATTATATTAAAGCTCAGACTTACAGATTTCGTTACACAACCCGTGAACCCGGCACCATACAAGCCCTGAGAACCTACAAGAGTTCACAGAGGGCTGCGGTGGGTGGGGAGCCCCAAATGCTGCATAACCGGCCGGCTAGCCGGGTTTCACATTCCAGGCGAGGAAAGGTGGGCCACTCCAATTCGATTTCGCGGTTTTGAGGACCATGCTTGGACGCTGCCCCTAACCCTAGCTGCCCTAGCATGTGTGTCAAGTACATGAAGCATCTTGAAGGTCAGGGCTCATGGGCACTACAGCTTGATCTGGGTCGAGGCTGTTTGCGATGACGATGAGGCACGCCTGCGACACAATGACCGTTCACAGGTGTTGATTGCAGCGTTAATGCACTGTGATGTGCTGTGCACTGTTTCCGTATTCCATACAAAGTCCCGCCGTGTCCAGACTTCTTCGACCCTTCCGTGTCCCAAGTCTTTTTGTCACATCTGCTTTGACAACCATGGAAAGCCGCACAACTGCCGACAAAAGGTTATATGACTTAAGTTGATGCTCCAATTGTTTTGAGTCACGAAAGATCATGAAGGCGCAGATATCCGTCCTGACTGCTCGTGTTGAGACGTAGCCCGACAATCGCGTCAAACAGCTCCACACTGATTGCAAGCTGGCTTGGATGGAATATGCGCCTAATGCAAGAAGCCGGAGGGTTGTGCTTCTCAGCGGTTGAGTGTCATGAGGCTGCACTGGGCAAGACAATCGCGTCTCAGAAAAAGAAGTGGGCAATTATCAAGCCAGCTCCGTGAAAGCTAACGGTCGTCGTCGTTTACCATCTCTGGGTCGGAAGCCACTCTCTGTCCTCGGTCTGACAATGTGTGATGCATCGATTTCAGCTTGTACCACCCCCTCCTCCCCCCCACTCCCTCCCTCACCCCTCCCTCACCCCTCCCTCACCCCTCCCTCACCCCTCCCTCACCCCTCCCTCACCCCTCTCTCACCCCTCCCTCCTCCCTCATCTCCCCTCGCCCTCCCCTCGCCCCTCACCCCTCCCTCATCCCTCACCCCTCCCCTCACCCCCCTCACCCCTCCCTCGCCCCTCCCCCCCCCCCCCCCCCTCCCTCACCCCTCCCTCACCCCTCCCTCACCCCTCTCACCCCTCCCTCTCACCCCTCCCTCGCCCCTCCCCACCCCTCCCTCCCTCATCTCCCTCGCCCCTCTCACGCCTCCCACCCTGATTCATTTTGTTGTGTTCTCAATAATTGAAGGGGCCGGCGATGTAGTGAAAGGTACTTAGAACGAGTTCTAGCAGGTTGCTTATCGGAGGTTTAAAAATAAAGGCTTGGTGTCCGTTCTCCGAGTCAAAGCATCTGCTCCCTCAAGAAGTGCTTTCAATTGAAGTGCTCAGAACGATTCTGATGCGCACATTGGCATACCAGCAGACACTAACCGGTAGCCACTGTTTACATGGAGGACTTATGGCGCGTCTTGATCCATCATCCTGTTGTTGCAATTGGAGGGGCAACTGCGGAACGTCCATGTGCGCCGGGGTTTGGCTCTAAATGCCCTTGGGACTGTTGCAAGGCTAAATTATCTTAAGCTGCTTTTGCTGCAAACGGCTAAATCATGCCAGCGCTGCCAGGTCGTCAAGTTCAACATGTTGACAAAGGCACACGGATGCAATGTGATTGCTCAAGGCAGTCATATCATGGTGTTTGGCAGGTAAAGTACAGTCCAGACTTCAAAGACATGTCGGCAGACCAGGTGGGTCCCTTGCTCACAGAAGCGTCATGTGGGCTGCACAGCCACACACCAGCGAAACAGAGACCTTTCCGACAGATGTCCTTGAGGTTCCATCCAACTGAAAGTATGTCAGGCAATGGCCGATCTCACGGCAAGAATCCAGACATATTCAGAAATCTATGAGACCATTCAGGACGCTGAATGACGTATGTAGGACACCAATTCGCTTGCCTTCACAGGGACGTTGGGATGTACGCGGCAGTATGCGCCAGTGTGCATGAAGGCTGCTGCAAGCCAAGCAAGCCACCACACGAGGCGTTTGCCTGTCATTAATCTGTAATGCTCTGTCCATGCTCTGCTCACGACAGGACTCGGAAGGCGCCTTCATCAAGCTGTTCAACCTGTCGAGCAAGGCCGTTTATTGCACTTGTGGCTGTCTGTGTGAATCCACACATCGTGCAACCAAGTGCTTGTGATCGGGCATGTTCCAGTGTTCCCGCAAGTTCCCCAATGTTTCCGCATGTTCCCGCAGTATGCCTGCCTGACTACATTGCTTTGGCAGGAACGCAGCAACATATGTAGCCACGTTGTTCGCACTTTGGAATTTGAGCTGCCCTCCAACTCTTCTGGTCTTTAGCATTCTTTAGCTACCTATTGGCTACCCAGGTCGGATGACACTGGTGCATGCTATGTGGTGCCTCGAAAGGAAGAACCCCTCTGTAAGGAACAACTTGGGTTGGCCGAGATGATCTTTAAGCATATGTGATTATGTGCCAGTACAAGACTTTAAGACGCGCATGCAGAAAAGAGCCAGGAATTTGTCCTCGGTTGTCCGTGGGAGCACATGGAGCCACCGTTTCATGGTGAAGAGCAATGCGAAAGCCTGCCTCCTTCAGGGCTGCGGCCGTTGCCTGTTTAGCTTCTCGGCATTTCCGTAAAGCTGAGCTTTCCGATGGAGTAACTTCTCAATCGAGGGTTGCTCGCCGTAGAAAGTCCAGTCGCATTCCCGTAGCGCTGTAGCTGCTTCGGCAAGAAGGCCATACCCAAGACGTCGATGCTGCGTGTTTCTGAATTTTTCGGCGCAGTGCATCTCACCATGCTTTGCCTGACCGTAATCTGCCAAGCTTCAGGTGTTCCAGCACAATTTCCCAGCATCACTACTATCGCGGCTCTGCGCATTCCAAGTTCTCCATGACGCACCTGGAGCGTACATGGTGCAACGATTGCAACCAGTGCCACGAGCGCGAGGAATCTCCACGGAAACGGCGGGCTCTATGGGTTCCACTTGTATCGCTCGCCCTTACCGACGCCCCCATCCAGTTGCTGGTGGCCTGCGGAACCGGCTTCGACTCCGGACGACAGCGGCCTCTTGGCTCCTTCTGTCGGAGGTCAGCTCGGTAAGTGTCTCAGAGGCCTCTACGGCGGATGTTCTGAACATGTGGTGGACGCCTTGCATTCTCGGAATTGCAACCATTCTGACGTTGGCCTTGTGGTCCAATGGAAGACTTCGATCGCAGCTGCCTTCGGGCCCATCTCCTCCAGAGCTGTTCAGTCACCTCAGCAGAAGTGCCTTTATGCAGGAGGAGTGGGTCCGGAAGCATGGAGACATATTCCAAACCTGGGTCCCATTTCTAAGCGTCGTGTGCGTATCCGATCCAGATGCTACTCGCTACATCGCCGTGCAAAAAGGGAACAGTTATCGAGATCCCTGTGTCTTCGGAAGGCTCGGGGCTTGTTTTAAACTCGTCATAAGCTAAAAGTCTAAATGCCCCGATGCATGAATCGACTCATAGAGCCTGAAGAGCATTGCTTAGAGAGCTGTTTGCAAAAAAGGGACCTGAAGAGGTCTATTTAGACGTCTTTTGCTCACCTTCTCGTCACTGTTGGCAGGGATCAGCGATTGGCAGCTAGCATCGAAGAGGCTTTGGGACCAGGCAGCAGCTTCCCCACATTCGAGGAGTGGCGCTGGCGGAAGCAATCTCTGCAGGGCGAGTTGAGCTTCAAGAGGCTCCTGCAGCCTGAAATGGGTCTCCTGGAGTACTTGGTGAGACTGGGTGAGGACATGCGCCCGGGCTCTTGGCAAGTTAACATCTTTGCAAGTTCGAAATATGTTGTTAAACGCAATGATCGTGCAGTATCTTGCAGTCTTTTTGCGGCGCCATGTATCAGGTGCAGCTCCCTTGATCGGGCGGCAGACAACTCAGCAGCCATTCGGATGAACGACCTTTTCTCCAAAGCTGCTGCCGCAGCAGTACTGCGCCTCTTGTTCGGGCGAGAGGTCGACTTCGATTCCAAGGCTTTTGAGCACAGCACCGAGGACCAATGGACCATGGACCATACAATGGACCACATATTTACAGATACGTGCGCACATCATGCGCCTATTTGCCACAACCTCGGGCCAGTTGCAAACAGTTATGTTAGTACTTGTATGTTGCATTCGTCCATGAAGCAACATTGAGGCAAACAAACTCGCTGCGCCCAAGCCTGTGTATTCCTCAAACGGTAAACATTGCGTCGAGTGCGGACCAAGTTTTTTTCGAAGCTTGCCCGCATTTTGGACGAAAATTGTGCTCTCGCCTTTTAAGCCCAATGATTAGTCTCAAAAGCGATCAAGCCATCTGCGGCTTAATCATGCTTGATGCACAAAGCATCACAGAACTTACTGATGCGAAATAAATGAGCAGGCAGGTCAAGCGAAATGTGGTTCACTGTGCAAGTCACGAGACATGAGCTACGAGTATCAGCACATATCAGCACATTTTATTCCGTGATTGTCCTCAGCGTTGTCTGCTGTAGCCGGCGCTTCAAAGACTTCTTGTCAGACAGGAGATCATGGAAGTTTTGGAGGAGCTTATGCTTCCACAGATGCCTGGAATGCGTCAGGCGACTTTAGCGAAACGAGGTGCCGGATCAAATGAAGGAACAGTAATGTGTGATATGATTTTGCGCGTCTGGCATGTCCGCACGACATTTTCAGCATGTTGCCAGGGCGGGCTCATGAAGTGCTCGATTCCGTGCTCCGTCCAGAGCTACAGGACTTGGTCGTGCAGGCGTGGTGATGGATCGCCTTCGTGTTGTTTTTGCTGGTTCTGGCTACGGTAGGGCTCATCATAGTTTGACCTCACTATTGTCTACTTCGAGCATCTATCTGAAGCTGTTTTGAATTTTGAACGTTCGTCCCCCCTTAAGACCGTCCCATCATCAGCTATAGTAGAATAATGTAGAATAAGCAAACAAATGCTTAAGACTACACCAGCGAAGACGGGGTGTTCACAGGCTACAGCGCAAACTGGCGGAACCCTGCAAGAAAGAAGCCCTAGACTTCAACGGTACCAAATATACGGGAGTGACAAAGATGACGAGGACTTGGAACAGAAATGTTCTCCGACTGTTCTCCCATGCAGATGCGAGGTAGAAGTTAGGCGATACTCCGACAGACAAATTCCGGCCTTGACCAGTCTATCACAGACGTATATGTGGCAGCAAACCCAATGAAATCAAGAGGGTTGCCATGGTTGCCGTTCTGGTCATAACGATGTAGTTAGGCGCAAAGGGGAAGCAAGCGCAGACAGGGAGTCAGGGACCTGGTCGACGCCAACCTGCAGGGATACAAAGGGCAGAGAAGTGGGGAGAAGCAACCCAGGGACAAATGAAGGGAGACAAATCGGAGCAGCCCACGGACCTGGCCAAGCCCACATGAAGGGAGACAAAAGGGAAACAAGCGGAGACAAGGAGCCCAGGAACCGGCCGGAGCATCCGGCTAGGTCGGAATTCGGAGTTCTTAATTCGGAGTTCTTAGAAACAAACAGGACCGCCCACAGTAAACTGTTTGTGGAACAAGCATCAATGCAGAAAACCACAAGGTTTAAAAGAACTACCCACCTCAATCATCCGATATTGCAGGAAGAATATGCGGGTGCTCAAAATGTGTTTGCTAAGCCGTAGGCGGATGCCGAAGCTAACAAAGCACAACATGAAAGCAAGGCAGGCTTTTAGATTTTCAGGCAACATTCTGCAGCTTTTGAGCATTGACGTGGCTGCTTTGCCCAGATGGATGCGAGAGCAGAGCGGCAGCCTTCACTACTGGAGGCCTGGCGTGACTGTTACCAATCTTTCTTTGAATGAGGAGACTTTTAGCTGTTCGCCGTCTATCTGTACGTTTGCGGATCTTGCCGGTCACAAAAACCCACCTGTCATTACCAAGCACAAGTTGCTGCTTTATCATGGCTGGAAATGGTTGGAGGTGACGCCTGCCTGTCTCACCTTCCAGAACAGAAACTCTTGGACCAGAAGCGGGCCCAAATGCTCATCAGCCCAGTTCAATGCCAAGCAAGTCGCTTTGCCTGGTTTCGGGTTTGGCCTCCTGTCAGGCCCTGTTGACAAAAGAGCCTCGATGGAGAGCAAATGGTGTGCAGGCACTTCTGGCTGAGGCAAGCAACTAAAGCAGCTGCAGCGTGTGCGCAAATGGCGCGAAACGAGTCGATGCAGAGCATGTAGTACGTAGAGCCCTATCTCTTCGGCAGGTCCGCAACTTTGTGAACGCGGGCTACGAGATCCAGGCCTTCGCTTTGTCCTTTAGCATTGGCTTCCTCTCCGAGCCTCGCCATGCTGACGAAGCGGAGGAGGCGAGGAGACAGGCCGCAGCTTGGAGCGCAAGTCGACTCCGAAGAGCTGGTATGTGGTATTATGTGGTGTTCTGTGTTGAGTGGTGCAGGAGACTTGTAAAGACTGTAAAGGGATTCGAGCGAGACCAATACCCATTTTCGCAGAGGGCGCCCACATCGGGACAAGCCTGAGACCAACCCCATCCATGACCATCCTGTCGGACAGCGTGCTTAGGTTCAGATTGTGAGATCCGGATTCAAGCGTGAATCTCTTCTACAAGACACCAATTCCATGCAGGCAGTGTTCAATGAGGCACTTCTGACATATTCAGACATGTCCATACTTGAACTCGCGAGCAGAGTCGGAAATCACAATCAGGGTGCAAGACCTGAATTGACCTGAGGCGTTGCGGCTGCTGCCTCCTACTCCGAGTTTGTCTGGCACGGCTTACGACGACTTCGATGTTGAAGTCGATGGCAGGACCTATATCACTGATGTACATCCGTATTGCTCTCTGAGAACAATTGTAATTTTAAGGCTACCGGACCCTCCTCGCGTTGTCTCGCGGCCGCAGCAGTAGCGGGCAAGTTCCAAGAAAGCTAGCTTGTGGAGGGTAGGGGAGTAGCTCAGGGGAGCGGGGTACAGCCGAAGAACAAGGGTGGGGAGGTGGTGGGGGGTGGGGTACCTCACACGGTTAAGGGGGTGAGGTTAGAAAAATAAATTCCAAGCATCAGAGGTGGGGTACTTGCTTGCTTTATGCTACCCAGACATCTAATTTCAGTTCGAAGCCTTCAGCGGATTTTGGTGCTTTTCTCAAGTTGGACATCGCATTGGAGCTTGCAGGAGCTACAAGATCACCAAGGGTTCGGTACTCAATTTCCAGGCCTAGTTGCTTTTTCACATCATCTTGCATGATTCGGAACGTGATACTGTACAACCCTCACAGAAAGCGACATCTCAGAGGATCCGACGAGGTCCTCCTTAAAGATCCGAGCTTCATAAATTCATAATAAAGTTTCCAGCAGGCCACCCCCCGCGACTAACCCCCCCCCCCCAAAGCCCGCAGCCCTCTCACCCTCCACACCCCGGTACCTCCCCACCCCTCCACATGACGATCTACAGATTCAACCCAAACAATGGTGCACAGATACCAAACGACGAGGGTGGAGAGATGGGCGTGAGCGTGACGATGATCGCGCGCACTGCACGCAAGCGAAAGATGGCGCATGCGCAGAGTGTGGCAGAAAAGGCGCACTCGATGCGCCCGAATATGCACAGGATTCGAGTGAGAGCTCTGCGTCGCAGTCGACATCGGGTGCGCTGCTGGAAATATGCAATCTTCTGCCCTTGTGTTATCAATGTGAAAAAACGGGGCGGTAAAATAGTGACAGTGTGGGAATGGGCGAGGGGGGGGGGAGTTGTGCATGAAGTAAAGCAAGAGCTTCACCTGAGTTTCACCTGCTTGTATCTCAGGCCCGTCGCCGATTGGTTTTAGTCGTAGGGCGCGCGCTTGTCATTGCTGGTCTGTCCCCATTGCCTGCGTGGCTTTCAGAACGGCGCGAGCAGAATGGAAAGGTGGAGGACGCTCGGTCATACGTTTGCACGATTTTGCACGAGAATTCGATTGTAAGCAGCCAGCGGAGGACTATAAAACGGAAGATACGGAAGCTAGCTCTGTGGAGCTTGCGGGAGTTGTCTTTTGCCATTCTACTTCTAAGGCAGTAGAGGAAAAGCACGTCCGGGACTAGAGTGACTAAACCCAAGAGTTGAGGTCCGGGGAAGAGGGGGCCCCACCTAAGGAGGTGGAGGTGCATGGGATAAGGTAGAGGGAGGGCCTGAGGTCCGACCTCCTGCAGGCTGCAGACGCGATGCTAGATGTAGCTTCTTCTTTTAGTCTAGCCGGTTGTGAGAGGCGTGGGTCGCTTTCATGGACGGTCAGTTATGTCAAGTGTCACAGCATTCTGTGAGTTGGCACAGCTCACCTGACTTCGTTTCAGACTCAGGAGCCAATCTTGGTGGTTTAGGATGTCGGGTTTTTCGGCCTCTGATCCGAATCGTCATCCCTGCACGCTAACCCTTCATGGTGTGCAGGGCAGGGTTTCGTGGCGGAGCTACTGCATGCCTGCACTTTTCCCCCTGAGCTTTCGCAGAGTTTCGTAGCCCCTTCTCAAGTAAATCATAGATGGACAGCGCGCAAATCGTGCAACAATCAACAGCCCCCATGAGTGGAGGTGTTCGCTGGCCAGCGCTCCAGAAAGTTTGGCTCTTCGCCCACCAGCTTTGAGCCAAAACGCTGGACAGGATCGACGGGAGTGCAAGCCCAATATATTCATGAGAATCACGGGGCTTTAGGGGGCTCAATTTAATCTCCACGTGGCCCGCCTCGGCCAGCCTTGGTTTTAGCCTCAGGTCGCTAGTTGACGACGAAAGGTCCCAAGTTATGGGGATGATTCGGCATCCCCAATAGTATAAGGATCTTAAAGCACCAGCTGCCAAGCGGCGAGTCGAGCAGGGTGCTGTGCAGCCTGCGAGTATAGGGCGGCCCCCGAGAATCGGGACTTTCTCAGCAGACTCTGTCCCTTGGGCATCCTCGGGGGGCCGTGGTTCCCCATTCAGGCCAAGAACCGGACCGCAGGCCATGGGAGCAGGATTAGGTGGTGTGTACCTGAGACACTTTTTGATATGCCTTAGGCCCTTGGGCCTCGGCGGATAATTATGTTCGTTCGGATATGGGTGACAAGGGCCATCAGCAGTGAGCATGCAGATATTTGCTGCCTCGAAGTTTTGACCGAGAATGAGCTCACATGATCTCACATAAATGGCCGACAGGAATCAAGCAGACACAGCTGATGACGTACAACTTTGGGGCGCACAGCTGTCCTGGAAGGGACATGTCTTCGTTGGAAGCGAGAGTGCCATGGCTTAATGGACATCTGGACATTCTGGAAGTTGTGCTAGAACTTATGCTGATTTTGAAAGACACTTTGGCTCACAAGCAGATCACGACAGCTGACTGCTGCTAGAGGCTGATCGAATAGTCGTTGTAGCAGAGCTTTCCCCGACTTCACAGATGATGGCTGCAGCGGCTCCGTTGCTGAAAGTGATGATGACCAGGTGACATACTCGGTACACAAAAGGAGCATTCAGGTCAAAAACTCAAAGCCGGTAGAGAGTGAGACTGCAACCAACCAATCACACACATCGGCCAACGTTGACATGGCAGAACGAGCTTATGTAGTAGGTCGGAGGTGATCTTGTAATTCGTTTCGGGCCCTAGTTCTTTATTAGTTTTCTCGTCGGAGGCTTCTGTCAGCAAGAGGCAGAGGGTTGGCAAGAGGTAGCATCTTCATGCACATGTTGGCTTCATGGACTTCTTGGGGTGAATCTCGGCTAGCACATCGCAAGAGGGTCCGAAGAAGAAGAATGTTTTTCCACGTTACAATCAGAACCTTCATTTATTTAGTTTGCTCAACAGCGATGCCACGCTAGGTCTGGTTGCCGATGCTGCTTTCACGATACCGTTTTGAACTTGCACATGGGGTCGAACAGCAAATTGACAGCAGCGGTGTGCACCTAAAGCCCAAAGATGGCTTACGAGTGCGTGTCCACCGACTCTGAGAATTTGATGTCTCTGACTGTCTTTGCGACGGTCTAAAAGGGGCCGTCGAGCCGACTTCGCCTTGGCCCCAGTCCTTGGACTGTTTGGGCCTGTTTCGCAGAATTCCTATTATCTCAAGAAAAAGGTCTTGCAACATCTCAGCCGATCTCAGCCGATCTCAGCCGATCTCTTATTGAGTCGAAATGCGAGTGGCCACGCCGAAGTCGTTGGAGTCGTATCACTAGAGAACGGCTTTGCTTTCTTGCATGTGCCCTCATTTCGCCAGGTCATGGCGAATCACTGCTACGGCCGTGTGGCAAAGAGCGTCTCGGACATAGGGTTATGATGGATGAAGCTGTGATGTCATGCCGCAATGTCGCCTCGGACTGCTTGTGTTGAGTTTGGCAACTTCTTTATACTGTACACTGCATACTGTATACTGTATACAGTATGCTTGACAGGAAGGGGAAGGGTGGAAGGTAAAAATCCCGACGCTCTATCCCAGGGGAGTGCCAAACTGCCAAACTCCGAACATGGTAAGGAGTGGGAAGTGGAACGAGCAGGCCTCGATTTTGAAGCAAGTTGAAAGAAGCGGAGCTTCAACATGCAAGGAGCCCTACTCTACATTGAGTTGGAAACCTTGACCATCCTCGGTGTAGAGTAGATTCCTTTGTGGACCAGCGGCGTTGTGGTGCCTTTCGGGGACCATGCGCCTTGATACTGTACCGGATCTAACCGAAACCCGAAAAAAGAGGTCAGTGGCAAACGGTGATTCGCAAGCAAGGTAATGGGTTGGGCATCAAGTCCTGGCAAGCGAACCGCTGTTCTGCCTGACGAAGGCAAACCATGAGCAAGAAGTGTGAAAGTGTTCAGCTATGCAGATGAATGGTTCTACCTTGCCATAGTTTCAGCACACTTGCACATTGCTGAGTGAAGCTTGTTGTGTTTTTCATGCAACTTTGCGTTCGGTGCCGAAAGCACAGCTAGAATCAACCGACCTGAAACTACCAAGGACCGGACAACTGCAATCCCTATTCACGTCTAATTCTAACTCCCCAAGCTTCGTTGCTGAAGGCTTCAAACACCAACACGGCATCCCATCCTGAAGTTATCCCAGCAAACAATGAGGCATATTGCCATATTTGATGGCAATCCACATCGGTCTGGACCACAGAAAATGAAGCCAAGAGAGAACTGGAAGTGCCACTGCGCAGTTGCCAAAAAGGATCTCGACCGATCTGGCTCGCACGGGCAGGACCTGGCTCGACCAAAGGCCACAAGTCTTGCATCACTCTTGCATCACAGCGTTTGGGGTCCAGTTTCCCATGCTGGCAGAGAGCTGTGAAGGCCAAACAGGCAGCGACCGGGACTCCACCCTTTCAGAGGAAGGCCGGCATGGGCAGTATGGCTCAGTATGGGCAGTGTGTCTTCAGTGTCGTTCCGTGATGTTCCATGTTTCATATGTTTCCCCACGGCGCTGCTTCTCCTGCTGCTCTGAGATAGGGTTGACAATGATGTTGAACACTAGCACATCCTCTGGATGTCCGACTGCGCAGGCCAACAGTTCGCTGAGCACCTCGCTGCATTTGTGCAGAAGCGCTCCCGTCGCTACTGGGAAACGTCTGGAAACCCACAGGAGAAGTTCAGTGCGGGAAGACTTGTAGGGGGCCTGCACCCTTGTGCATTGACAGTTTGGTAACTGCTGGCACCAGCATTGTCCGGGCACACACGTCAACTTCGCACCAGTGGCCCTAGACCTTGTCTCCAAGGCGCGTGCTCGTTTGCCAGCCATGCAGTGTTCAATGGGAGACATGACCGTGTGCGATAAGAATCTCCCAGTTCAAGGTTCAGTCGATTAGGTCCTTATTTCAGTCCTCTGCCTGCATGTGCTGGCTTCTGTAGCTCGGGACAAACCATGCCAGTTTTGCAGTAAGCTCAGCAGCTTCTAGTTCCGTAGTTCGTTGTGGCACGTGACAATTCAGCACAATCATGCCGCCGTGCCGCAGAACCCCATGAACCCCTCATAACTCCGGACATGTTTAGTATAATATAATGTTCGCGTCGGATCAAGCGGTGTCGCTGATTGCTGTCTTGATATCTGCAAATGGGCAAGCGCCATCGCGACGACGTCGTCAAGGATGCAAAGACACCGCCCAAGGCACCCTTTTCATGATATTTGATCGAACGTTGGACTTTGGCTGGCTTCATGATTTCTGACTCCGGACGAAGGAGGTCCTACGTGGTAGTGAGATCGGCAAAACTCTCTCTAGTTGCCTGCTGTGGATTTGGCTTCGGCCTTTTGTGGAGGATGACGGTACTGGCTCCATGTTGATGTACGGTTGAAGCCTCAGCATGAATCACCATGGCGACTGCATGCGACTGCCTCCAAGATCACAGGCTTGTAGCACGCATGGTCACCTGTGCTCAGGCGCGTTTACATGCTTTGGGGTGGTGCTGGCCCTCGCGGTGCAGTACAGTGGGGTGGATACGGTGAGCATGGTCAGCAAGCATCAGAGGTTCCACCAGCTCGTCGATTGGGTGCGGCAGAATGATGGGTTCGTGTCCTGCTCAAGTATGCTTACGATTACCGAGTCTGAGAGCCTGTTCTCTTCGTACATGCTACGTTGCTACATTGGCTGCCTGGGTCACGTGATATTGTCGCAAAACCAATATCTTAGGTGTCTCCAAAGATTGGCTACGCTGATGGAACTGGAAAAGGTGCAATGCTGCAAGCCTTGGGACCAGTGGATGCTGGTGAAAGTCTGATGCACATTCCGCACAAGCTCCAGATCAGTGATGCCTATCGCATGCATGCGATCCGTTATGTTCCACTCATGCCCGCTGCGTGCTTTCCCGTGCGATTCAGCTCGCTAAGGCCAGCGTTCGGACAGGCCCGAGCGTACTTCCGGCGCAGGTTGACTCTAAGCCGCGTCCGGAGAGCCAGGGCAAGGAAAGCTAATGGAAAGTTCGTTACAGAGAAAGACAATAAGACTTCCTGCCTTAAGACGTGCACTGTGCACATATGAATTATATGTGTAGGTATATGTGCATCCACAGGCATGTGTCTAAAAAAGCATTATGAACGGAGATCAACACACATGTCGCTCATTTGCAAATCAGTTGGGGGCCTGAGGACAGCATTGAAGACCTCAGTCTGGGCAGAAGTGGTGTGGCGGCTATGGCTGCCTGGCTGACCAGCCAGCACGGCCACTCAGATCATCGTTGGCTCATGCAGAGTGCCAACTTGTATTGTTTGTATCTTCCAGCAAGATCTAGCGGGCCTTGACGTTACAGCGGCAGCCACCAGCCGAGGCAGCTACTTGGAGAGGCCCAGCTCTACAGGGTTTTGGCAACCCTGGTGGGAGATGTTTGAGCCGCCATTCACAATGCCTTTTTACAGGCAAGAAACCGAACTGCTGCTGCTGCTCGGATCTTCCTCTCACACTACGCTCAACCCCATTGTATGAAGTCAATACATGTAGACACTCACTCGTTCAAACCACTCAGTCGTACCAAAGGCTCCTCGGATCTTATGAATTCCAAGAGCTCGGGCGGATGGCTTTCTGGCTGGAGTCTCAGTTCACATCCGTGGTTGTGTTTATGCGAGACAGGGGTACAGAATTGATGCGTGATAAGGATTGATAAGGTTTCAGGGGCCATGCATCAAGGAAATTCAGGGTGCCAATGGCACTGCAGCCAGGTGGTGGACTCGACATATAAATCCGAAATTTTACATGAGCTTGTGTGAACATGCGGGCCACGCACGAAGTCCGCAGGAGGCCCTTGACGCTGACAATGGCTTTTAGCCATGACTACAATATGAGCACTATGTCCGCGACTACTGTTCTGAGCAGACAGTTGGGGCTGGAATTGTTCCCTATATTTGCTTGCGCGCGCGTGAGGGTGGACCATGGTGGACCTCTAGACACCCCGCAGAAAAGTTTTTGCTCGCAAAACGCATGGAGGAACGCAAGTTGCCAGCACCAAGTCATGAGTCGCTGCCTTCAGACCCGTGCCCTCGAGGACCTGTAGCTTTCTATGACATGGCCTTGCGTTGGAAACCCTAGGCGCTGAACCCTTGGGCAGGTTTTCCCGAGCCACCGGTACATGGGTGCCATTCGCTTAATTTGTGGTGCTGAGGTACAAGCGCGACTTCCAGAAGTTGCAGCAACTCTGCTCTTCTGGAGCGGCGCCTGCGACCTGTATCCGAGAGCTGCAGATGTCGCTCGAATGAATCTGGCTTCAAAGCTTTCGTCGCTGCCGCGACATGTTTGTTATGGTTGGTGTTGGTTCCATGAGTTCTCCAAGGATGGATTTCGACATGTATCAGGCGCCCGTTCAGCTCGAGTTCTGCGCTGTTTGTGGAGTTCGCAGCACAGAAAGGAAGCTCAAGTCGACTCCAGCTCTAGAGTCTAGAGTCTAGAGCAGAATGCGCATGGTAGTATCTGTCGAGGAAAAGCACTAGACTATACTACTATACGTTACTATACCAAGCAAAATCACCACTTTTGCCACAGTACGCTGAAGAGAAAGAGGTGACATGTGACATGGCATGACCAGACTCTGTCCAGTAGACAGGTTGAAGCCGTGGCTCATCTAGTTTTGGCCGGGACATGGCTGCTACTTCATTTCATCAGCTTCAGGCTTTCGTGCGGCCACTGTCCGAAGATTTCAAGTTAACGTAGGTTGAAGCATCCTTTTGAACTCTTTTGAATAAGGCATGCACGTCGAACATATGGGAGTGAGGGAGGCTCCGAGCGTTCGGGTTGAAAGCTTTGTGGCTGTTTTGTGGTTTGATGTGGCTCGAGATGCTTTGGGATTGGCAACGACTCTTCAGACTAGGCCACGAAGCATTCCCAACCCTGAGGCCCTAAGCCTGTCGTTTCAAACTTGTCCCTACCTGCGCTTCTTAGCTGCTGCACTTTCTGACTCGCACCCATGGGTTCATACTTAATTTTCCGGATTCGCCTCGGAGCCAGTCGACTCGCAAGTTCGTAAGTTAAAGTCCTGTTAAGCATCTTAAGCTTATGCAATCTGCTCAAGAATATCTCAAGCATAGATGACCATGTATACCAATGCAAAGGTAGATTGCCTTGTTGTGGCACGTGACGGCACACGGTATATCACGGTATATTTTGCAATGGCTGTAGTCCATCCGTGAATTTATTGGCAGGAGCGATAATCAAGCAAGAGTCGTTAGTTTAGTTTCATGTGCTTCTACACAGAACTGTAACGTCGAGTAGCTACTCACCATAAACATGATAGGTGCCTTTCCTTTTCAGTTGTGCTGTCAGACGCCTTGCCGTGACGAGACATGTTCATGGCGTAAGGCATAAGGCAGACGAAGTCCCACGCTGCTTGAGAGATTTAATTTATCCCCATTGGTGTCTCCGGCAGGCTATGAACCAGTTCATCCTCTCGCACGGCTGCAAAGGGCCTGGGGACAAGCCGCACATCATTCCCGTCTTCGAAGCTCTACAAGAATAAGTTATGGAGTGAGGGGCACCCAAGGGATGCAATTAGCAGACCTAGCAAATCCGGAATTAGCTGTGTATGCAAAAGTAACAACACTGGCAAAACAAACAGTTTAGCCAAGCGGCCACAAGTAATTCAAAACAAAGACGCAAAAGACTCAACACCATCGCACATATGAGCGACCACTCAAGTGCGATGACAGGTGGTAGGATTGGCTGTGTGTCCGTCAAGGATCGAGCTTTCTTTCGAGAATACTACCCAAAGCTTTCTCGCCTCCAACGATGCCACTGGTATGGGCATTGGGATGACGCCTGTGGACTGCTGTGCCATGTCCACGTTGGGCCTTCGCATCAGGCCAACAGTCCCCCATGCGTGCAGATGAGATTAGGTTCTTCAAAAATGCCTTCGAAGCTGTTCGGACGAAGAACCGGCACAGCTCAAAGGAAATGAAAGATCAGCTACGCAGCTACATGACTTGGAGAGGTCACTGCAAGAAGCAGGTTCTAGAGGGAGATGATGGGAGATCCCACATTGAGTATGTTCAGGTCTTCAACCCGGCTTCTGCAGGCCCGCGATGCATGTCGCCGTGCCCCAGTGGGAGCGGGAACGAGCAACCCACTTCTCATTTTTCTCATACGTGCTCGAAAATTCTCCGAGCAGCAGAAATTCCGTGACAACATCCAGATCAACATAAGCATCGAAGCTGCACCCGAAGTGAGTCCTCTTGCACTTCCATCAATCAATAAGGAGACTAGCGACCACAACTAGCACCAAGAAGTCTCTAGTATTTTTTCATTCCTCAACAGCACATCCGCTAAAATGGGGTCTACAATCTGTAAAAAAAGCACAGGCGCGGTGAGCAAGGTTTCGGGTCACGGGGTCCCGAGAGCGTAAAGAACGTGTGCGCTAGTGACTGTAGAAACTGGATCTGGCATTCGCAAGGAATGCGGGCGAGATGGCTGCAGTCTTTTCGCCGGAACATGTCTCTTTGTGCACGGGAAAGAGATCCAAGTGTGCTTGCTGGCTGAGAACGCAGCAGTCTTGTCGCATGAACATGTTTCTTGTGCACGGAGGGAAATCCAAGTGTGCTCGCGGCGTCAGAACCGTGTGCTCGCGGCGTGAGGAGTTTATTGTCGCATGCACATGTCGGGTTGCTCATGT